AGTTGATTGTCTCATCCCTGTAACTTTTACATTCTATTGGAGGGCTTGTGTTTTTTGAAAAACAACAGACGTACTGGCTGGATCACCAGATGAAAATAGAAGAAAGGAAAATGAATGCAGCTATCACATCTTAGAAACTGTAAGCTGCAAAATGTTTGCCTTTAATACCATTTAACCACTTCTTGCCTGCCATATAGTCATTATGGGATGTCAGGGTGGTTCTCCAGTTCTGGGAAGGCGTTCAGTAACATCCACACACAGTAGCACCCAGCTGCTGTGATTGTCCAGAGTATCATGTGATCGATATGACCAATCATAGCGATCACATGTAAACAAAACTGTCATGAATGGCTTCCATTCATGACGGCTTGCTTACTATTAACATCGGTCACATAGTGGAAGGCCATTCACTGCAGCCTTGTACCATGTGAGAACTGTAGCCAATCACAGCATCACCATTGTAACCAAGCTGTCATGATTGAAAGCCAATCATGACCCTTAAAAGGATTGCTTATAACAGTGATCATTACTGTCATAAGCAGTCACAGTGTAATAAAAATCCAGATCATCTAACCACAGTAGTATAGTATCGCTATAGTAACACACTGCACTGTTCTGATGACAGTATACAACGAAAAAAATTGTAAATATAAAAATGTTTAAAAATTGAATTTTTTTTCCTTACATACTATCAATAGTCAGTATCCCTGATCATCGCCACACCAGTTGTATGATGACGTTGCACTGCACTGGTGACAATATATATATATATATATATATATATATATATATATATATATAATATTTTTTTTTTTTTCATTTAATTTCTTCATTTTCCCAGAAATTGTGACATCAAATTACAGCTTCAAAAAACTCGCCTTGCCTCTTACTAAATACTTTGCACTGTCTACTTTTTCAAAAAGGGGTCATTTAGGGGGTATTTGTACTGTCCTGGCATTATAGGGCTTCGAGAAATAAGATAGACATTCAGTACATCAGGATTGATTAATTTTCAAATACATATACCATAGTTTGTGGACTCTATAATTTTCACATAGACTAAATACTATACACTGATTAGAGTTCTTTTTTTTTTTTTTTTACCAAAGAAAGGTAGCATTTTGGCCTAAATTAATGAGGAAATGTTATTTATTTGCAAAATTTTATAACGCAACAAAGAAAAATGTGTGTGTGCTCTTTTTTTTTTTTTGTTTTTTTTTAGTTTATGTACAAAAAATCTAAAAAAAACTCAGTGATGATTAAATACCACCAAAAGAAACCTGTCTCAAAAAATTATTTTATTTGGGTACAGTTTTGCATGACCTAGTAATTGGCATTCAAAGTGAGACAGTGCTGAAAGCTTAAAAATGGCCTGAGCAGGAAGGGGGTGACATAGTCCAGTACTGAAATGGTTAAAGAAGACCCAGAAGCATAACATGGCTCTGCCATAAACAAGATAAAATAAACTAGTCCCCACCTGAGGGTGCTGTTTAGAAATTTCAGAATTGCTCTGAATTGAACTGAATGAGCAGACTGCAGACGTTCTGAAGATTGGACTTTAGAAAAGGTAATCCTTCAAGTTTACTTAGGTTAAAAATGTATGGCTTGTAGTGGCCTTGCGTGAGATCATAGCAGCAAATGTAACTGCACTGACAACTGGCACAAGTCAAAGCTGGCTGTCAATATATTCACTTAGCTGCTATGTGTTCACACAGTGCTGACTTTATCTAGCAGTAGCTCAGCATCTTAGCACGTTTCCCTACCTATATCAGCATGTGGGGCAAAACCTGATATCTAAATGCTCCTTGCCCCCCTTTTCAAGCCAACATTTGTCAGCTATAAGACCATGTGACTTGTCTAGGATGTGAGAAACAGGCGCAACTACCAAGTTGCAGACATGCCATGGGAACGTTTAGCACTTTCTGTATATTATTATTTAGTATAAAGTAATAGTCTGTTCTGTATATTTTTATTTTTTTTTATTTTAAGCAGAATTGAACCTTTTGACATTTTTTTTATTGGGCCCCAGGAGCTTTTAGCCATAATGTGATAGTATGCATAGCATATTAGGACATTATGGCAGACCTACCTGGTACCTCCAGCACTGTGCTGTCAGTCATGAGCACTGCCATCTTCCCATGGCCTTCCTTCCAGGCTCCGACTGTTTGGCTGCAATGATGTCACATCATCATGGCACAGCAGTGCCCTAAATGTACACTGTGCTGCACATGCACAGCTCAGTGCACATAAATGCTGACAGGCAGTGAATGGCATGGGTTTATGACAGAAAAGATGAATATCCTACCTGTCAGGGTTTTTTTAGGTTTAGTTTCCCATTAATTGCTAAAATAAAGTCTGTTCAAAATTACCAGATCAAATATTTTTATTTTAACTGTTTCTTAAAATGATTCTAAAGGTTGTAATGAAAAAAAAATAACAAACATGTCATACTTACCTGCTCTGTGTAATGGTTTTGCGCAGAGCAGCACCACTTATTTTTGGGTCTCCCACAGGTGGTCCTGGCTTCTACCCCCCAGCCGAGTGTTCCCAATAGCAAGTCTCTTGCTTTGGGGGCACTTGAACAGACTTGCTCCTGAGCCACGCGCCTGTGAATGGACATTGTCCATTCACGCACAGCGCGACTTGGCCCTGCCCCCTGCTCTTTCCTCTGGCTCACAGGTTGTGATTGGCAGCAGCAGGAGCCAGTGGCTTTTGACTGCTGTGTGAGCCACTGAGGAGAGAGAGATACGGGAGAGCTGCAGCTCTCATGCACAGTGCTGGAACGAGAAGGGGCTTAGGTAAGTATAAGGGGAGCTGATGGGGTAGCTGCACCCAGAAAGTTTTTTTTACCCTAATTCATAGAATGCATTAAGGTTAAAAGAAACATCTGCCTTTACAACCACTTTAACTATGTACCTTACAACCACCTATATAGCTATATACAGGTTGCAGAGTGCTGGCTCCTAGTTCTAGGTGAGATTTGTGTTTTGGTGTTTACACATGCAGGTACTATCTGACCATTGTCAGTCCACTGAAAAAATGTGAGAAATGGCAAGCAACAGACATACCAAACTTTTGGCAGAGAGTGAAAACTGTAGTAATTTGACAAGGTGTTCTGACCTCTCCATCACTAGCCTTCCCCTTTGGCTAGTGATGTCTGTTCTTGATTTAGACATGGCGGATCAGCTGGAAATGGCTGCATTGGAAGTTTGGCATCTTATGACTTTGGGCCACTTAAAGCTGAGCTCCAGACAAACAACTAAAATCCCAGTTAACATACTGTATGGAATCTGTTTTACTTGTAGAAGGATTTGTTATCTATAGAGATCTACAGATCAATAGACAATATAGCCAGGCCAGGTCTGGGAATTCCACAGCAGCACTACAACAGGAACAAGATGTATGGCATAGTGAAGAAGCAGCACACTGATGAGGTCATCCCTCTGCCCACTTCCCTGTGCATGTCAGCATGTTAACTGAGGAAGGAAAAGAAGTCCCAGGAGCCGCACATCATACAAAACCCTAATGTGAAGAGTGGAAGCAGCCCCAGCTTAGGCTCCATCCCGGCCACATTTATGACATGTTTTGCACCACCCACAGGGTTTAGTCATGGGAATTCCCATGACTAAGCCCTGTGGGCAGGGCAAAACATGTTGGGGGTGTGGCCTGGACAAGAGTATAGGCTGAGGCTTTCACTTTTTGCATGATGTGCGGCTCCTGGGACTTCTTTTCCTTCCTCATTGACTTCTGTAGAGCTGGGATGAGCTCTTTCCCTGCCTGCCCTCTCAGTGGTTGTCAGCGTATAAAAACCTATTAGAGCATGAAGCGGCACCCTTAATTTCTTAGCATGTTACCTGCCCGCATTTGTGATTTTCTGCAGAGCCAAATTGTCCCACTGTCCTTCCCAATTTAAGTCTAAATTTGGCCTACACTAGACTAGGTAGAAATTTGATACTTTCTTTATGCATTCAATGATTGGATGAATGTCATTTCGAAAGTACTTCAAAATTTAGTTTGCTTTCAATGTTAGATTTTAGAATGAATGTAATTTCCCAAATGAAACCCACATTCACTGATAAATATTTGTTACTTTGAGAGAAATTTCCCATCCTTCTTCAAATTGTCTTGTCACTGTTGTAGAAAACAGTCGGACTCCACTAACAATTAAAAAATTGAATGAACGTTCCTAAAATTAAACATTTTGAACAAAATTCTTCTAGTAATGTACGGTATGTCCAGCTTAAAGCTGAACTGCAGGAATTCAGCCACTTTGTAAAATGGGCTGGCATGCTATGAGTTAAGTCCATGGAGGTGCATGCCACCTTGTGGACTCTGAAAGCTTTATTGAACCCCAGGAGCACAGCTGTCACTATACTTCAGGGGCTTTGGCAGTAAAGACACTGTCTTACACACAGTATCTCTGCCAGCCCCTTCCTTCTGCTGTTTATTCAATGAACCCTTTGTATTTTGTATTTGAGTTTACATGATATAAAGTGTCTGTGATTAGGCAACAGGAGGGGAGCAGTTGGCACAGTGGCTACATGTGACTTTGAAACTGTTGGAGCTCAGACCAAAATGTCCGATGGAACACCAGGAGTATAGCAACAGCTAAGCTTCCGGTGCTCAGTAAAAATGTCAATTGTAAATTAAAGAGATAAGTCTATAGCAGATTTCAGGAGACTGATATCAAGAATATCTATTACTTACACAAGCTACATTTAAAATACTTTTGTTTTTATTTTTTTTCTAACTGAATTTTTTTTCATATTTTCCTGGAGTGTAGCTTTATAAAGACTGCACTCATTACAACCTGTCTAGATACTACTTTATGCATTCAGGCAGGATCTTCCTTAACATAATGAATACATTTTTGTTGAAATAACAGATTGAGTATAAGCAAAGTATGACTGTGTTGCCAGCTTTTGGTACTGCAAGATACAAGAATGATGTTACTAGCTTTACTCACTAATGTGCTGTGTTTGTTCTACATTAATGTGCAGATTTGGGTGTTGACTCTTAAAAAAAATGGCTCCCCCAAAAGTCCACTGGCTTCTACCAATTGTTTTGGTCTCCTTCGTCACGTGTGTTCTTGCCAGAAGAGGACAAGATGTACGTTGTGGAGGTAAGACATGAATAGGGAATATTTTATTTATTTTTTAGGATCCCCTTTGAAACTAAGGTATGTTCTACTAAAGTGGTTTTCCATTTCAGTGAAATGATAAGGAAACCACTTTTGTCTTTCCTGTTGAACACAATGAGAATTCACAGGCTTTCAAATTAGAAGACTAATGTGGTTCCTGCTTCTGACTCTTCAGTGTAGGTTAATGTTTAACTCTAGCCAAGAGCTATTTACATAGTTTAACCGCTTCCCGACCGCCCTATAGAAGAAATACTGCTACAGGGGGCGTGCGCGAGCCCTACCTGCACGCCATTTGCAGCCGTCAATCACTGGGTCCCGGCCGGATTACTCACCGGCGCCCGGTGATTGCCGAGCATCTCCGATGGGGAGGACAAATTTTTGTAAAAAAACAGTTCTCCTCCATGTCAGCTCATGCACACTGCTTTGGATGGCTGTGCACAGCACAGCCATCCAAAGCAGTGTGCTTACAGTGAAGCACATGGACACAGCTTATAGTAAAACAGCACACAGTTGACCCCTCATATTAACCCCTCCCTGCCCAGTGCCATTAGTACAGTGTCAGTGGTTTGTTTTTAGCACTGATCACTGTATTGGTGTCAGTGGGGATGTCAGTGACACCAACTCAGTTCCCCCCAGTGTCAGAGTGTCCGCCAAATTCCTTCTATAAGTCGCTGATCGCCGCCATTACCAGTAAAAATTAAAAAAAAAAATGTAATGTAAATACTATAACTTTCACATAAACCAATTAATTTATAGGTATTGGGATTTTTTTTCAGCAAAGACATGTCGCAGAATACATTTTGGCCTAAAGTTATGATGAAATTTGATTTTTTACATTTATTTACTAGACATGTTTAATAGCAAAAAGTCAAAAATATTGTTTTTTTTCTCAAAATTGTCAATCTTTTTTTTTATAGCGCAAAAAATAAAAAATTCACAGGCGATCAAATACCACCAAAAGAAATCTCAATTCGTTGGGAAAAAAAGGAAGTAAATTTCATTTGGGTGCAGCGTTGCATGCCCGCGCAATTGTCAGTTAAATAACACAGTGCTGTAATGCAAAAAATAACCTGGACAGGAAGGGGGTAAATCCTCTGGAGGGCAGGCCCCTTTCATATGGGGCAGCCTGCGGCTAAAATCCGCCTGCTCCCCAAGGAATCTGTCCTTTGATCCCTGCTGAGCAGGTGGATGATAGGTCCGTGTCCACCCCTCTTATGCAGAGCGGACACGGACCACTCTCCTGTATGCCGCTCTACTCTATGGATGGTCGGATGTAAACGGACCACCTGTCCTTTTACAGCTAACTGCCATCCTATCTGATTCGCTGGATGGAAGGGGAACTGATCCCCATCAGTCTCTTTTTGGTGGATTTGTTCTGATTGAATGTAGGCAGGTGTAAACATACACATGTCGGTTTACACTCACCGCTCCATAAAGGAGAATAGAGATTTCTAACAGCGTCCACCTGAAAAATGGACAGGAGGACTTGATTGGAATGTCCGTGTGAAAGAGGCCTTAAGTCCATACATGTAAACGGCCTCACTCGTTAAGTTTATTTGTAATATTGCTCAGCCAGTCTAGAGATCAATAAACCCTGCCACACTAAATAGCCAGAGGGTGAAACCCTCCACTGGCTGTCCAAATACCAGAACAGAGGTTGCATCTGTACAATTTTCTACCTATCCTGTGATTTTTTCAGTGGGAGGCAGCTGACAGGGCTGCTCACTGCGCTAATTTCAGGAAGTTCTTCAGGAACCAGATGGAATTTTCACAGTGCATAACCAGTCTAACTCTGCAAGCATCCTATATGTCACCTACGGACATTCATCCTACTCGGTGGTTTCTGAAAGTACACCACATCACTGGGGGAGGTCCCATTTGTCCTTTTTTACCTCTTAGGCCTCCTACACACAAGATGTTTTCTTAACTCTCCTAGAATCGTTCATCCTGAACCAGCGTTTTGGCAAAAAAAAAAAAAAAAAAAAACCTCCTGACGCTTGTAAAAGTGTGTAAGTTCATTTCATTGGCCAGAATAATTATTCTGGCCATTAAAAGGAATTAACACTCAAGCGTTAACACCTAGCGTTAACGCATGTTTAGTTTTTTTTCTGCCAGAACACTGCTGCTCATGGATGCACTGGTAGTGGAGTTTTTTTTATTGAATCTAAACTCTCCTGCCACTAAACGCCTCTAAATGTTTATGTGTGCATAGACACATAGGATAACATGCAGGGGAGTTTAAAGGCAGGAAAAAAAATGCCAGACGCCCCTAGGAGCAGCTGTAAAAACATCCAGTGTGTATGAGGCCTTTAAAGTATTTTTCCACTTTAGGTTTGCTTTCCCATCCACACAGCATAACTCATTTTTTCTAGCTGTTTCTAAGGAGAAAGTGTCATGGCTGATTCTAAGAATTTCTGCACTCAAGCCTCTTTGTCAGTGAGGGACAGTCTCGGCTACATTTCATTAGCATGCAATGCAGGAGGGCTTCTCCTAAATGTTTAAATCTAGTTTGCATCTGTTAATGTTTAAATCCAGTGGTTAATTCTAGTTTACATCTGATAATGAACTACAAACCGTACAGACAGGGTTTATTACAAACAATCATTACTCCAACGCCCCATCCTAAACATTACAAAGCAGGGAGAGCATGTAAGGATTTTTTAAGCAAGTAAAAAGGTAACCATCAAATTTAAAATATTTTATGCTATGTTATTGGGAACATATGACAAATATAAATTAGGTGTTAGCCCAGTTTGGCTGCAAAAGTGGAAATACATTTTAAGACTGTCTGAAACACCAGTGCCTAAAACACGGCATTACTGTACAATGTCAAAGTGAAAATTATTATCTCTGTAATATCTTTGCACTATATATGTCATGTCTTATTAGTAAAACTAACAAAACCCTGTCTCCTTGCTCACTTACCCCCTTTCCAGACTGATTACAGGACGCTTATAGGGCACCACCACACTTGAAGTGTTCTCCACTCTTTGTAACAAACCCCTTTGCTCTCCTGGTGTACAGGACCTTAAAGCAGGACTTTACCTATAACAACTTAATAAATAAATAATGTTCTTTAGCAAGGAACATACATTCCATTTAATAATTATGCTACCAAAATGAGTGTGTGCTGTAAATTGCCTCCAGCATTGCTCCTGTTTCTTCTTGCTTGCCTGAGGCTGCCGTTTTGCTAAAGATGAGCCCCTAAACACAGTAAATCATAAAGCGGAACAAGACCCATCAATTTAAAAGTTTTAAAAAACAATTACATTCCTGGAATGCTGGGATTGCTGTCACAATTGCTTGTGTCCTCAACCAAACTGTCAAACCATCAAATAGCTGATATCATAACTGATCACATGTGCAGCACCATGACCATTGCAGATCAAACAAAAGTAGCCTGTTTGGCCGTAAAGGATAGGAGGGTTTAATTTCGCTTTAAGGCTCTCAGCAGATCATCCTTTACAAATTCATCAGTGCCTAAAAATGTAGAGCAACTGAGCATGTGCAGAGCAGGGTGAGACAGTGTATTACTAGATTTTAAACCGTATAGACACTTATTTTTAATGTTTTACATAGCTATACCTGCAAATGGGGGCAGCCTAAAGTGATCTAGCAGGACTTAAAGTGGTTCTAATAGCTTAATTTTTTTCTATGCATTCATTCTACACATTAAGGTGAAAAGCCTTCTATGCTGCAGAATCCACCCCCAGCCCCCCCCCCCCCCTTATTCTTACCTGAGCCTGATCTGATCCAGCGATGTGCGTGGGAGCAGTGGCTCTAGCCACTGTCTCCCTCCTCCCTAGACAGATTGACAGCAGCAGGAGCCAATGGCTCCCACTGCTATCAATCAAATGCTGTGCCGAGCGAGCAGGAGGCAGGGCCGAGCCGTCTGTTCTGTGTCAATGGACACCAGCAGGGCAGTTCGGGAGCGAGCATGCATGGGTGCCCCAATGGGAAGCGGCTTTCCATGGGGACACTCACAGAAGAGGGGGACCCAAGAAAAGGATTCCGGCTGCTCTGTGCAAAACCATTGCACAGAGCAGGTAAGCATGAAATATTTATTTTAATTTTTTTTAAAAAAGGAAGCTTTAATGTTGCTTTAAATTTCTGACTAAAGTTCTACTTTAAGCAGAATATACATGTTGGGAAAAAAAAACTCATAGATCCCTACATCCAGACAAATTATGTGTATGCAGGGATCTCTCCCATTTATTCTGAAAGGGATAACTGGTTAAACTGGCTTCTGTTGAATAACAGCAGTACACTTGTTCCAAAATTTGGCCGATTCCCGCTGAACTGGTCGACTTTTTGGTATGTGTATACCCAGCTTTATGGAAAGCTAATATAAAGATAGTTTGTTTCCTTATACCAGCAGTGTTTAAAATAAATGCAGTGCTTTTGCAATTATTATATTACATTATTAGTGTTATTTTACCAGTTTCCATCCGGCCTATAGAATGACGGTTGAGTGGGACTCTTGTTGATCTGGGAGGGTTTCATACGACGCCTTCCCAGATTACCGCCATGCGTGTGCCTGTGGGGCTGCACTGCAATGGGGCTGCACAGCCGGTGACTGATCTGTGTATTGACAAAAAATGTTCTTTTCTTTTCCCCTCTCTCCCTTTTCTTGCCCCAATCTCAGAAATCTCCAAACTTTAATGTGCAAATCTTAATTACCCCAAATATACATCTACCAACAGCAAACTAAAAAAATAAATAAACTTAAGTGTCCAAATAAATGTCCTTTTCTTATATACAACAGGTCCCAATCTTTTTTTCTCCACTTCAATCGCTTCTTCTTTTATCCAATAGGACAAAACCTCAAAATTATATAAATTGCAAATAGTGTATTATCTTATTACAAAATTTTATTTGTGCACTATGTGTCATGCACACTCCAACGCAAAGTGTTCAAACAGTGAGAAAAAAAAAAAAAAAGAAATATCTATAATCTATAAATATACTCTAAATGTGTACCA